TTCACTGATTCACAAAATTATTCTTGAAATTTTCCTGCTCAAGCTTATATTTTGATGTTATCGAGGGAGTCTGCATGTTAAGGACGGACAATTTGCTTCATATATAAGCATACTTAACTGTGAATATTTCAATGGTTTTCAATTTCATGGAAACATTACTAAAATCAATAGAATCCATTTCTTTGCCAGTATTATGTAAACTGTTCGATTAACAAAATGAATTATGCCTTGACCTTGTATAATCAAATGGTATTTTTCTTCCTTAGAACATTGAAGAAAACAGAACTTTTGATTAAAAACCCTTCGTTATAGGAGAGACACTAAACTCTAAACAATACCAGTCCGCAAAATCTTTCAGTCCGCAAAATAGTGCATGCATGGACAATTATGGTCTTATGCATGGATCTCTGCTTTTAAAACTTAAATAACAAACAATTACCTAAGAACGAGAAATGTATTTAATGGAAGGTCTATATACTAACTTCTTCTCAAAAAATATATATATCAGAATGTTATTGGCATGGTCATGAATGTTTTTTATTCTGTCGAGAGGATTTCAAGTACACGGAAAAGTTGTTTTAAACATATGACTTATGTTGGGTGGGGATTTTCTTTGATTAATCAAGTTGAATTGATAATATTTTTTTCAAGAATATATGACCACGAAGAATGTTTATGCCATCGAATTAGTATTCTTCTTAAAAGACTTTCTTTCTTAGGTAAATTTAATCGGGCAAGATTGGATTATATTAGAACCTATATAAAAAATACACCTTAATATTAAATTTATATACCTGCATGAGGAAGAGTAAATATAATTTAATATATATAATCAAGGTCAAGAATCTATTAGCGAGAAATTGTACATTTGTACTTAAAATTTCTGGGCTTCAGCATTGATATTGTCGAGGGTATTTGAAGTACGGAAAAGTTCCACTAAACATCTATACTAAAGTACAAAAAGTTTAATGATCTTTCAAGTCCAAGGAAACATTACCAAAGTAAATCGATCATTTTCTTTGCTACAGTATTTAAACTATGTTGTATTAGTACAATTAATGATAGCCTTTCATTGCCATGCATTGGCAAAAATTTATCAAAGCAAATATAATGCGTTAATGACAATTTTAATGACATGATAATCATCGAAAATCCATCATTTTACCTTGAAAATTATTAATTCTTGAAATTTTATATTGATTTAACTTAATGAGCTAAGTAAATGATACAGGATACTTATTGACTGTTTAATGGCTATTAATTTTCCCTTATATGCATGGGTATTATATGTTAAACGTAATTTATATCAATTTAATGCAAGCAGAACAAGCTAAAACAAAAAGCTATAGCTATAGTAGAGTATAATTATCGAAAGTTGAATGTTTATTAACTTTTGTTCCTTGAGTTGAGTTTTTAAAGATTTCTTATTAATATAACAAACATGGTGCATGCAGGATAATTATCGAAATTAAAGTGGAATGACCATTAAATTTTGTCCCTCGAGTTCAATTCTTGAACGTTATATGGAACGGATGTAAAAATGTACGATTAAGATAATCTTGAAAGGAACTACTTTCTCTTGAAAGGAGCTACTTTCAATGCATTGCTATTTCAGACTATCCAGAACTTCCCCAGTACATTTCTGTTTCAATTCCTTGCACTGTTCACATCAACGAAACTCATGAACGATCCCATATTCGGTCAAAATATTTGCTCACGCCCATGAAAACATTAAAATTATCTCCGTCCTTGGAGTCTAAAAGATCCGTTGGCCGTAGTAATTGTGTAATTATGTAATAAATTATGCCTAATTAGCATACTGTTATTATTTTCAAATGCTGATCGGCCAAACATTATATTTGTTTCAAACAGCTGAAATGATATAGTTACAATCTTCTATTTAAAAACCTGTCAATATTAAAATATTTGCTCAAAAACACAAGACTGCTAGACTGCAGAATCCAAACACATGGATTTACCTAATCCATGCATTCAATCCGACCGGCGTCAAAAACTTTTCTGCTTTGTGTATAAGTTTCCTTGTTTTGAAGGCGCGTCGCAGAGTTGTACGTCATTGATCCTATAATAATATACTCCGTATTCGTTGGGTACGCCAACTCACGTTCATTGTGTATGAAGCGGCGAATATTAATTGATCAATTTGTGTGAGCTCGTGTGTGTAATGACTTGAGTTTCCTTTGGGCAGTACAATCTCACGTCCAGCTACGAATGACGTTGGGTAAATTGTTTTGAAGGATTTGCACGAAATTTTTGAGGAAACTATCTTGGCGTTTAACACTTGAGTCAGTTTCCTCAAATATTCCTTGTAAATCCTTCAAAACTTATGTGCATATGAATGACGGTGTGACTGACTTCTGAATGACGGTGCGAACCACGCGTGTAATTTCCAGCTGGAAAGCCTGGTTTACACTGTGATCACAGTAGGAATTTTGCTTGGGTAAGTTGTTTTGAAGGGGATTTGTAAGAATGTTTTGAGGAAACTAACTCAGTGTCCTTCAAAGCCTTCAAAACTTAGAATTTACCTGTTATGCAAAATGCCTACTGTGATCACAGAAATTTTGATAATGTAAAGCAGCCTTATGTACATATACTGCGAACATTAGGTAATTAATATGCAAAATGTAGTGCGTGTTAACGTTATCTTTTGCGTATGTGGCCCATACACGTTTCCTTTGGTCGTGCGAGCCAGTCTTGGAAAAAATAATTTATTTCCGTCACAACTGCATGTGACAAAAAAATTTCTGCCAATGTTCCGGTATGTGGCTAACTATATTGGTTAAAACGGAATACAAAGCATATAATGCCACTCATGGCTATTGCGTCAGTCTAAATGACCTATAATTTTATTTATTATAAAATCAAGCTCTTGTTGACCTCACATTTGCACTACACTCTACAGTATAGAAATTGAAGGCAATTTCTCCCTCAGTTCACCTATTTGTTTTGTGTGTTCCTTTAAGAAAATAAGGAAGTTCCTTATTTTCTTTGTATTTATGCCATTGGTTCATTTATTCTATCTTACTTTCTCACTATCCAAAAATGTTCTTGAAAACTTAAATTTTTTGGGACCAAATGGTCTTGTGGTCCAACAGTGTTTTCATTCCTGGTGCAAGCATATGCATGGCCAATTGCGGAACACTCTTAGGCGAAATTATAATCAGGCAGGAATGAAACCCCGGTCCATGCAATATACAATATCATGTCATTCATGATCATGGCTAAGCCTCTTCAGTGCATGCTTATTTCGAGCTCTTACTCAAAGAAGATCAAAGTATATGAGTCACCCCGGATGACACACTTCTTCACCTCGAGTAAAACGCGGAACGTTTTGAATCAACCACAGCCCATGCAAGAGGCTTGCCTGCTCCCTTTAGTCTACCGTACCATTCAAGACCGTTTGAAATTGTACTCGATTCTTGCGTATGATATGTTTATGAATTATGATCATGCGGAATTAATACCACACATTGGCTAGTAGTGCATATGCCTTCAACATCGGTCAATGGCATTCAATTTCTTGAATATACAGCTTTCTGATGACAATTTTCCTTGAATTCCTTCAGCGTGTTTCAAATTTGACTCAATATACCAATGACCACGCGGTACACCTGTTTCCTCTGCGATATACTTGATGGGGAGTATATCCAGTAAAATAAATAAAGTTATTATATTTTTATTTAAAAAAAAAATGGGGAAATCATTTTCAAATAATGGGAATATTTTCAACTTTTGAATATTCAAATTTGCGAACCTCTCTAAGAATCGGGAGTATATAGCTCAACCTACGCACTGCTTTTATGTTTCGAAATATTCAAAACGAAATATTCAAATATTGCTTGTCATATCAACTATCATGCCAAACTATTTCATTTCGTGTCAAATTTTGAGTTTACACTGATACTGAGTCTAATTACTCGCTTATCATACGCTCGTAAATGTTTTTTGAGCAACTAACACGATTTTAATTGCGATGATAATTATCTTCGGTAAAGGTAAAGTCATGACAAGCTTCATTTGTCACTGTAAATTATGCCAGGAAATGGTATTTGAATGTCTGAGCAAAACTATTGTGTGGTATGCTAATGTTTTCATCCGTAATGAACACTACTTGAGATTGCTCTTTCACTTAGGCGCCTGTTTTCAAAATAAAATGCTTAGGAGAGGAAGTGTGCGTGCTTTTCGATTCGTTTTTACCGTCATGAATTTTTCATTTTCAAGTACCTGAGTGACCGCGTACCTGTTTTGATTGGCAGGGCTGAAATTAGCACTATTCCGCATTCGTATTGTAAACAGTGGGTTTAAAAGAGGCTGCTTTTCTCCCGAACGTCAGTCATTGGTGTATACTCGACACAAAAGCGCTTTGAAACAGGCGCGAGTTTAGGTTTGACAAGGCAAGTACGAAATTGAAGTTATTCATTTGCTCGCCAGCTTGTTGCCATCTGCGAGTAACCGCAACGCTGAGATCGTATCATCAGAAAGCTGTATACATTTCAAAAGAAAGCCAGCACGACATTGTAAGCTTATTAAAAATGTGTGACTATTATCCGCTTTATTGATTTCGACAATTCTGTTTCGAGTGAACATAATAAAATCACTAAAGTATACAAAACTTAACGACTTATCACTTTGTACTTCTTTACTTACAGGACTGAAGATACGTTGGATTGCGTGTGAAAACTTGCTTGTTTTGGTCTCTGGAGTAATTTCATTGTTGGTTAAAGATACGACGTCGAATTATCTTGTACTTCAGCGAAGTTTGATAGCGAAGTTTGTCCAATATCGTTGACAGGTTTAGTGCTATTTTGGTTTCAAGAGAGTGAACTCTTCGAAAGACTTGGAGTCAAAATTCATCTTGGACCTAAGTTGTCGAAAAGCGAAAGGAGACTTTAATAAACATTAGCCGTTTTATGTAACTCGGTTGCTAGCATTGTTTACATTTTATTCTTCTGTCTTGATTTGGAGTATTGACTTTGAGCATTATGTTGAAGTTCGCGATTAAACGAAAAACTTTGGAACTGTTTCACGAGGCTGTTGATAACAAGGACTACTTACGGACGAAGCTTTTGATCGAAAATTGCGATAAACAAAAATTTGTTGTCGATTCGTTGGACGCGAACGGACTCACGCCGTTGCAGCGGAGTTGCTTCTTGGGAAATGCACGGATCGTTCGTCTTCTCGTCGAAGCCGGCGCGAACGTATCGATCAAGGACAGCGAAGGCTGGACCGTCCTTCATGCCGCTTCTGTGGCTGGAAACTATGCCGTCGTTAAGTATCTGATGAAAGTCGGAGTCGATTTAGAGGCGAAGACCGATCGAGGGGAATTAGCTTTGGACCTAGCCGACAAGGACAACGTGGTGTTACTATTGGTGAAAGGAATGATCCGCAAAGGGTTGTATGCGTATGTGAGGGGGTATTTTAAACAAAATCCCAAGACTTTTCAACGTATTATAGAAGATATGAAGAAGAAAGATAAGCTTCCAACCACGCGTGTAAAACGCATTGCCTCGCGACGTCCACGCAGTCTCCAACTACGAAATGTCCCAGACGAGTCGAACACCGACGAGACCGAAATGAGTACTCTTGAAATTCCGGCCGAAGAGAACGAACCACCTCGCGGCACATTCCGACGGTCGCTACGAGGACGTCGTCAGACACCTTCTCAATCCTGTCCTATCTACGATGACCCATTAATATCAGATGATGAAGATCTTGATCATGATCATATTATCCCCTTAACACCATCATGGATATCATCATCGATGACATCATTATCATCAGTATCATCAAATTCATCCGTCCCATCAGCTCATCTGGATTGGCCCGATGTTATCTACGCAGCGCACCGTAGCACCCGAACATCATCATCGTCTAGCCCAACCTCCACTTCAAAATGTGTGAAATTTATCGTCCCCGTTGGCTCATGCGATGTTTCAAGTGGAAGTGTGAAGCAAGTTAACAAATGGATCGATTCGGGAAAGATTGAACTTAATTCCTTGAATCAAAATGGAGTCACCCCATTACACCAAGCTGCTTTTGCGAATAATGTAGTGGTAGTTGAACTATTACTCCGTCGAGGTGCGGATATCAACAAACAATCCTCAGACGGTTGTACTCCTATACACGCGGCAGTACAGGGGGGCGGTTCCCGTGCGGTCGCCTTACTCATAGACTACGGAGCTGACTTGTTCATTGAGAACGATAACGGCGCGCTGCCAATAGAGGAGACTGAGAACGAGGGTATTATAGCCATACTTCAACAGGCTATGACTGTGAATTAAAGCATAATTATCATACTTATAAAGTTAAACAGTGTGTAAAAAAATTGTAGAATATAGTTTTTATAATGTTCGTAATAATGTAATAATGGTGAAAAACTAAAAAGTTTGAATAAAAATTTCATAAAAATAAGTTTGTTCAATTCGTTCTTTATCATTGCATTCATTGTGAAGAAATAAAATTACCGATCTTTTGTCTGGTTTATTTGTTAACTTACTTTTGTCTTGAGAGATTTCACTTAGACCCCGTTTACACGGTAGCTGGCTTGAAATTCGTCCTTTTTCGCGGAACCGGACGAATTTGAGATCCCCTAAAGCCGGTTTTCCAATAGCGAATGCTCTCGCGCGAAGCGACCTTTTTCCTTTGTCGGTATGACTTATTGCGTCAGCAAGACGCGTCGCAAAATGGATGCCGTCAAAGGAAAAAGGTCGCTTCGCGCGAAAAATTCGCTAGTGGAAAACCGGCTTACGAATTCGCGTGTAAACAGGCGAAAAAAGACGAATTTCAGTCCGGTCTCAATTTCGTCCGGTACCGTGTAAACGGGGTCTTAGTAGAGAGCAAGGCATACAGGATCCATACATAGTATTTGTTTGCCAAGTACTGTACTCGAAAACGAAACAAGATCTACAAATACATTATTCAATGATTTAAAGGTACGTTTACACGCTGCGATTTGTCGTCTGCGATTCATATTATGGCGTATGCAATCGAAGAACTAAATGAAGAGGATTTGCATTGTGAAGAAACTGGGTGCATGAGATTGTGTTGCACAAACACTTATAAAGCATTATTCACTGACTTACTATGAAGTAGTCTCGACCTGGTTGGAAAAAGTATGGAATTCTAATTTCCATAATAATTGTCATTCCCATATAGTGGCCACCATTATTTTTTCCACCCACAAATTGCGTATTTCATAGCGTGACGTAATATTCCCGCCTTTCCCGCGTCATAGTACAAGATCTGAAGATTTAAAGCAACTGTGCGCCTTTTTCGAATGGACTTCAGAAGTGCTTACGTCACATCACTTTCGAACAATGAATTATTGACTCACGAGTTTCCCACAATGCACTGTGCATTCCAGAAGTCCTATGCGTTCAAAATTGCGTGACGTAAGCACTTCTAAGGTTTAGTTTCTTCAAACTTAATTTTGCATTCGAAATAAAATATGAACCCCGGAGAGGCAAAAATGTGTCTAGTAACTATAGCTCTGTGCTTATGCATGTGTGGCATTTGAATTATGCTTCTTCCGTTTTGTTTAAATTCTGTTAATAATCGTAAGATATTGCATGTAATAAATATAATCCTGTTGTAACACTCAACAATCATGATTTATTTGAACGAAGAAGAGGAATAAACTCGCTAGCAAAAGATCAAATGCATCAAAAGTGTTTTAAAATCAAAACACATTTAGTCAATATATTGCTGAGATATGCCATGAATGACTGTCAAATTCTATTGCAAATTCTTCTATCAGAAACATGTTGTGTTTGTTGGTCAAACAGACAGTTGAACTGTATATTTCAGGCAAGGTGGGGGTCATGCTTGGAATACGTAGTCTGTTAATAGCAATGTACTTAAGGAGGCTTTGGAGGGTTTCGTGGGATTAGGCAACCTTGAAATATGAAAAAGAATTCTTTATTTTAACCAATAAATGTGGAAATAAGCTTTAACACGAAAACGAGGCTCCCGGTCATGACCTGGAGCCTCGTTTTCGTGTTAATGCTTATTTCCATATTTGATCAAAATCCAATTTTTTTTCGCGCATGTGTTGAAGAGGATGTTCTGCTTCTCTGTGCATAGCCCATGAGAAAAAAAACTTGAAATCCTTTCATTTAAGATGATCCTGAGTTGAAAACAGTGTAGTTTAGTTGTGACGTAATCTGATCGAAAAGATCCCTAAAGATAAAAGATAGCAGCCGACCCCCCTGTAATTTTAAAATTGCTCGGAATTCGTCGACTTGCATTGTACAGTACCGAGATCCCGACGGAGTGCCGGGCAATTCCGAATTTTAAATTTTTTTCCCGCGTGGCGAAGAATGTCGAGAAGCAAGGAAGAAATTCTGTAAAATGGAGGACAATTTTTGTCAAACCTACCTTTATTGGAAGGTAATATGCTTTATTTAATATCAATCCTTGTAGTAAAGTACTTAGATTGCCAATATAGATGAAAATTTAGGACAACGAACCCGAATTTAATGCGATATTTCGACATAAAGTTTCTGCTTTTGCTTGCACGTGGTTCGCTTTTTGGGCGATTGTCGAACTTTAAACCGTGTTTTAATTCATAATTATTGTCGACCAAGTGAGTTAAAAGACTAACTAAGATCTAGAATTGTTTAAGTTGTCGAAAATCTCTGTCGAATCTCTGAGTTCTTGCCGAAAATTTTTGTATTATTAATGCCGTATACAGAGACGAGGCGCTTGGTGGGATGAATATTTCATCAGTTTGTATATTTCAATCTTGCGAAAAAATGGTGTTTTTGTTAATTTATATGCAGAAAAAGCTTTGCATCAGCAACATTACAACGAAACAAAGTTAATTACAAATAGAACTAACTGAAAATTGCTACAATATAAAGGCAAAATCTAGAAATTATTGTGTTTCTTTACATCGCACTGCAAGATGGTGTAAATTTTGATTGGTTGGATAACTTTCTCGGTAAGGCCACATAAAAGAAATTACTTGTTTAGCGTCCACCCATTTTAATTTTTCTAGGTCGGGCGGGCGGGGGATTTTTGTTGTTTTTTTGTTGTTGTTTTTTCGTAAAATGCAACACAAAATTCTGCTAAATGCAGGAAATCCAGTATATTACCACAGTCAAAACTCACTTTAATTCTTTCAAAATCCGTTCATGTTTTTTAATACAGTTCATGTTTTTAATAAAACAGAAAATTGGCAGTCACGCGCGAACACTTTAGCTGCGAACAGGGATATTCTGGGAAGGAAACTTTGTGTAAACGTATTACATAGCTCCCAGAAGAATAATCACCATTTTTTCAAGTAAAACAGTCTTTTTTTATAGAGAGTTTTTGCACTAAACTCGGATGGATTTAAAAAAAATTTTTTAAAAAATTGGAGGTCGGGGACTTTTATCAGGTCGGGCGGGACGCTAAACAAGTAATTTTTTTATGTGGCCTAAGGCATGTACTAAAAGGCGAAAACGTCGAAACAAAACGGCCAAAACCTTCAAAACGAAAAGGCCGAAATTAAATGGTCGAAACCACTGAAAATATACCCTGCTTCCAGAGGTGAAAGAAACAAGAGGCGAGAAGGAAGAGCCTCTTGTCACATCGGTTGCAAATCCCACTTCCACACTTGATTAGGTTCAGAATTTGAATCTCGCATTGCCATTTGTAAAAATATGTCAAACTGGTTTGGGAAATAAACATACATTACTGTAAGCTAATTATATGGTATCTATTATAGCTATAATTAGCTTACAGTAATGTTTATTTCCCAAACCAGTTTGACATATTTTTACAAATGGCAATGCGAGATTCAAATTCTGAACCTAATTAAGTGTGGAAGTAGGATTTGCAACCAATGTGAACTCTCGTTTCTTTCACCTCGCAAAGAGCCTCTGTAACCAAGGTACTGAAAATATAAATTACAGAAACAATTCCAAAAAATATGTTCATATATTGAGTTTTTCATCTCACTAGCCAAGCTATTCACACCCTCAGTAAAACTCTCATTTATTTTTGTAGATGTACAGTGCAAGTTCCAAGAATGTTGCAAGACCTCATGGTTATGAAAAATGGACACATTCCTAGATCCTGAATAAGAGGTAAATGATTTTTTTCTAATTATTTCTAACCTTGTATTTCTTGGACAATTGTCTTTGTAATATATTAATTTGTATCATGTTCTCAATAGTGATTCTTTTAAATTTTCTAGATGTGTGTTGCAATTTCAAAGAATGTCTCAAGTTGTTGGCTGAAGTGTTTTTGATCACAATAATGAACACTGTCATTGGAAAGTATATAAAAGGTCTTACAGGGTAATATTTATATCTTAACATGAAATGTTTTGAACATTATATGATTGCCTGTGATCCAGTGGCGTAATGGAACTTTTAAAAAGTGTGGCTGTATTTTTTCCCAAAAAAGTTGGCAAGCAGGGGGGGAATTTTCGAACCATATTCCTTAAAAACAAGGTGTTAAAAAAATTGAACTAAAAATTGAAAAACTATGACAAGCAAAAAAAAGTCACAAAAACGTTTCCCTATCCATGTCTACCAAAAAAGGGGGTCCAAATTTCACCAATTCCTACTTTTGCCGGCCACCTGTTGCAAATTTTCTGACCTTCTATAACTGAGGCTCGGGCTAGCAAAAAATTTATGCTAATTTTTGCGGGCATCTCTGGACACCCAAACACCTTCCAGTTTTGTCACTGCTCTGATCAATAGTTTCAAAAATGAAAAGCCCAGCAGAATATTGCAAAAATAGCATGTTACTTGTGGCACAAAATACAACAAAAATAATAAACGCAATCTTTACACCTAAATATGGTGAGTGCACAATAATTGCACTTTTTTATTCTATTATAATTTACACCATTATTTTGACTTGTATTAATTGGGAAAATTTCAGTTTTGTGGTTGCTTAATTACTTGATTAAGTTTTGTGTTGCCACTGATCACAGAAAATCTATCATTTTCAAAGCATATAAGCATTTCTTTAGCAAGCCAGAAATTGACAAACTGTCAAAAATTTTGTTTAACACTGATGATTTGGTTTGGACATGCATTTTCTCTGTTTGGCACAATAACTAAATCTTAAGTGCAGAATATATAAATTTGTGTCTATCTGTTCTATCTGAGAACATAGTTGTTTCTATATGTTTCCAAAGTTTTTTTCAAATATAAAAAAATGAAAAGTTTGTCAGTATTTGGCTTTGTTACATCAGTTAAACATTGAGAAGATTGAGGTGGTCTTTATTACAAACCAAAGTGGTTACTTACAAATAAGACATGTGACTTTATTAGTTTTAATTCAGGATTGAGTATTTTCTTATAGTCATCTTTCATATTTCGTATTAAATTTGGAGTATGTTTTCATTTAAAAATGATTAAAAGAACATTGATGAACATTTGTCTCATCATAATTTCTGTTTTGAACTTGTCAAATTGCATTGTGAAAACAGTAAACTTATGTTCCATCTCAATCTTCTCTTGTTTAAGTGGACTTTCGTGTTTGTTGAAAGTTTGGAAAGTTCATCTGAAAATCACAGTGTTTTTTTCAATGTTAATTCTTACAAAAAGCAATTAGTGATCAATTGAAGTATACAACACTTTTAAAATTATCACTGTTAGAACTGCCTTGTTGTTTAATAGTCCTGTCTTATTTATCCCAGCACACTCTTAATACATGAGTTTGATTATTCCTGGATACAAATGAAATGGATTTGTTGAGGAACGAGGCAGTTCTATACAGTACTGACTTATAGGAGGGTTGTGTTCTTCAGTTGTTTTTTTATTCTTGTGCCAACCATATTGTGGTTTTCAACAAAATTTGAATTTCGAAAACAAACCTTGTGATTTTTAAAAAAAACTTTTCCAACTTTAAAATAAACAGGGTCGAAATAAGCTAGGATATTGCAATTACTTAATTACAAAGTGGAACTTATTGGAATATGGATGAACTGAAGCAGCAAACTGTACTTAATTTTTTTGGGTGGGGTGGGGAGGTAATGTGAGATGGAGAAAATGAAAGAAAATTGATTGTCATGCATGGCAAGGAAAACCACAACCAGACTACAGGATGATTTTCTTTGGAATATGTTTTGTATTACAGGGAAGGAAAAACAATCGGCATTCAAAAGTATATATTAATTGTTTGGTAAAGCAATACAATAATTAATTGGAATGTTCAGGCTGAAGATAAGATCGACAGTTCTTTGTGCTAGGCATTAATCAATGAATAATTTAATATATTTGAATCAAAATTCAAGCACAGAATTAACCATATTTTTAGTACTTATCAAAATTTGTGTGTGTTTCATCAAACATAAGATAGGCAAAGACTGAGATGCTCTTTATGTACCAAATTTTATAATCTGAATAAAAAGTTGTATACGGTACTTTAGAATTCTATTTTTATTTAAATAATCTGACCTACTTATTTGAGTGTGAAATTTTTGAGGCTTGAGTTTCATATTTTATTTCGAATCAGATTCAATTCATTAATTTCGTACTTTGGTTTGGATACTGAGATGAGAAGATTTATTTTTTTAAATTTTTATTGGCTGGTTGTGGTTTATAATTTTTTGGCAATTAAAATTAATTTGTCAGTTTTCTATGTTACATGTATTTCTTTTGCTTCAGTTCAACATCCTTTTCAAATAGTTCCACTGTGTAATGGTGTGTTATAATATTCATAATAATAATATAAGCAAACATGTTTACATGGCACTCGAACATGGTCTTTTCAAGTACGTAAAGGTAAGTTTATACTTCAAAAATGTCTGTTTTAACCTGACAAGAATGCTGTCCAAAATTAACTAAAACTCAATCTTTGTGACCTTTCAACGAAATTTCATATGTTCAATCGACAACTGCTACTACTGTGCATATCTTTTGGTGTTTCTGTTTGGTTTGCTGTTGATACTAGAAATTGATGAAAATCCAATATTTAACAATTATTCACCGAAGGCGAGATGATTATTGGGAAATATTCGCCGAGATGAAATCGAAGTGAATATGTCCCGATATAATCACCGAGCCTGAGGCGAATAATTGTTTTAGTATTTATACACAAGTCTTTTGTGTTTTTTGGGACTGAATTTATTTTAATTTCGCTTATTTCTTTATCAGTATAAATTTCCACAAAACGTCTAGCCACCATTTTGAAAATTTCAGTTTCGTTATATTCACCTGTAAGTAAATGTAACAGCTTAATATGTCAAATTTGACCAATCAACTTGCAGGATTTGTTATATCCATTTGTGCAAAAATAGTAAAATATTATGTTTGTAAGTTTGTTGAGTGAGATTCTAAAACTAAAGATTTTATGGAAACTGATTGTTCCTTGTGAGGACTTTGAGCAAAACTGTTTGTCTACTTTAGAGTCAGCAAAATATACCCAAAAGTTATTTCCTGTTTACGTTATGCAAAACCATAAGCTCTTTTCCAATTAAAAATTTCCGTTTGGTTTTGACCAATATAAATAAAAGTGTAAAAAATGAGAAAATATTTTATGAACATTTGAAAGTGTTTTCGTTTTAAATTTATAAATAATACAAAACGGGAGAACTTTTCCCTAAGTGAAATTTAGGGCATGTTTGTTTGTAAAATAGTGGATCAATATGTATCAATTTATTGTATTTATCAAGGACGAGAGATGTACCATTTTCTTAATTTCTTAAGCAAAGAAAATTGAAACTGATTTTTCGTTCGAAAAATCAATCAGAATTGGAGAAATAGCATTCTTTCAAAATTTTGTTGAACTGCATTTTCATCACTTGAATTAGTATTAACATTATATATAATCAATTCAAAGTTGTCAGGTTAAAAACGACTCTCAAAGATATATGGCTCCGAAAGACCAGGATAATTTCAAATTCTTACATTCTTGATTTGGCACTTGAAAGAAATGTTCTTATATATGTTCAATTGAGTATGGAACCAATGATCTAGTCGTAATGTTTCGATGTTTAAAAATATCATTTCTGAGTTTAATGAAGTATGCTGTCAATGCATTG